AACCCTGAAGCCCTAAAGCCGCAAACCGTAACTGCCGGGGGGGACCGGAAGGTGGTCCCCGAGCTATGCAGCCGCAGTTCCTTCTACGAGGGGCTGGCCCCGTTACAGGAACCCGCCGGTTTGCGTTACGATGTCGGGGCTGCTTCTGCTATGCGGCCTGTTACGGTCGGCCGGCTCCTGTTAGGGCAAATACTCTTGGGGTTCTGGTCGCGTATTAGGGTTATTCGGGTTCAGTTTTGGGGAGTGTTTCGGGTGTAGGGTTGTCAAGGTTCACGGCTTACGGTTGTCAGGGTACGGGGTTGGTCAGGGTCTGGGGCTCTTAAGGGTTAAGGGTTTGAACTCGGCTTGCGGCTATGTTTGGGACTGTTCAGTGTTTGCGGCTTGGGGGGGGGGGGGGGGGGGGNNGGGGGGGGGGGGTGGTTTAGGGTTTTGACTTGGTTTTGGAATAATCGGGGTTTGTGGTTATTGGGGTGTGTGATCATTTCGGGATGTTTCGGGCTTGATGTTCGAGTTGTTCATGGGTCTAGGGTTCTGGATGGGTTCAGGGGTTAGGCTTATATACTTAGATTTAGGGAAACGGATAGTAGTTGAAGTTTAGGATTTTACGAGTAGCTGTTTTGAGTATAGGGGCCTGGGGGTTGGGATCATTATTACCGCTTCAGGCATAAGCTGTTTAGGGTGATGTTGTTGGATTGTTTAAGGTGTGGGGCTTGGGTTGCTCAAGGTTACGGATTTCTGGTTCAAATAAATTGGTTTAGCGCTTGGGGTTGCTTGCCGTGTGGGGTTTTTGAAGGTCCTGCTTTTCCCTGAGAATGTAACCACTCCCACAGTTGTACCCTGCCTTAGCCCGGCTCTTCGGTGCCCAAGGCCAAATTGTTTTCCAAGTTTTGGAGTCCGAGCACTTACCAAGCGTGGTTACGGGCAAGCGCCCTTTATCCCAAAATGCTGCCCGTAGTTTGCAGAGCATCCTCCGATTGCCTAGACACAGACGCTGGCCGTTCGCCGACATGTCTGCTGGCATACTGGCCTCGAGTTTTCGGTCCACTTTTCAGCAGATGTTGACACGACCGCCAGTCACCGCAGAAATCTCCACGGCGTGGCCTAATTAGTCTCTTCATAAAAATGTTCTTCTCGCGTCAAGCAAACAAGTTTTTTCGCCACCAGGCCAAAACCTTGCTGCCCTTTCAAGAGCCCGGAGCCCACTTTGAACCCGACTTCACCAACTTCTGTACCATCCCATCATATTGACCTGCTGCAGGCGCCAATTAAGCTTTTCAGGATTCCTTCTTGATCCTCGCATCGATGTTGCAACAATTTGTGGTTGAGGATTTGGCGATGTTTCGGGTGTTGTGGTTCCTGAGGCTTGGAAACGGTTACGGCTTGCTCAGGGTTTGGGAGCTGGGTTGTTTAGTGTTCACGGCTCAGGGGTTCAAGGTTTGGGTTTTGTTTCGAGCAAAGGGTTTAGGGTTTTTGGGGGTTGTTTAGGGCTTAGGCAGGTAGGTTAGCAGTAGCAGCATTAGCAGGAGGAGGACGAGGAGGAGGAGCGTCGCAGTACATAAATATAGAGATTGCTCAACCCACTTTGCAGCACCAGGCTCAAAGTCTGAGGGTACTCGCTGCAGGGCTTTCGTCAAACGGTCGGTGAAGACCTGCAACCAGGGCTCCGTGTTCTGGAACAACAAAGCCTATCTTCTGCACATCCGCCTTGCCATTCATCTTGCCTAGATCGCCATTACGATCAAAGGTCAGGTGAACGTCATCCTGGCATCCCGGTCATGGGATCAGCATGGCCACAACTACTTCCCACATTACTGCACAGTCTGCGCGGCTCTCGCTTGCCGCTGTCCGGCTCCTCCAACACCAGTGTGGGCTGCTCGCGCTCGGCGGCAAGGCGCCAAAGGCGCCTCAACACCAGCTTGAAGCCCAAGGAAGCCAGGCCGGACACCCTGCTCTAGAACACCATTACAGGCGCAGCGTTTGCAGCAGGCCATCTCTTGGTCGGACACAAGTGCGAGTGGGCGCAGCCACGCTCTCCACCAGACATGAGCTGCTCCTATTCTTGCATCAGTTTGACATCACCATGTGCATTGGCATGGTTCTGCTCTGGAGGGTTCTTTGAGGCACGCGGTTAAGTGACTGTCTCAAGCTGCAGGCGACCATGGCCTGTCAATAAGGGTGGACTTTATAAACGCGAGATGTGCACAAATCGTTTTGCATAACATGCCATATGATGCATATGGGCTTGACTGTTGACTCATTGACTGATTGCTTGATTGACTCATTAATTCACTGATGCACTAAGCGCTGGGGGTGAGAACCATTGCCAAGCAGGGCACGCTAACAGAACAGCGGACATCCAGCCAGACATGAGATCACAAAAACACCTGGTAGCTTGCGGTCTGAATTCCTCCATGCTATGCCCGTGTACGTTCAGTCTCCGACTTTTCACGAACCCGTCCTGACCATCGCGGAACCGCTGTGCAAAAGACAGCCGAACCTGGCAACAGCTGCCAGTTTGCGCCATGTTTGCAACGTTGCTGCAAGAGACAGGGGCCGCCTGGAACTTCTCACCCGTAGACTTTTTCGTCACAGTCCCCTTTCGAGGCGGCTGGGCATCAAAGCTTGGTGCATCGCGCACATAGCCTGGGCCAGGCAATGAGGATTGAAGGAGAGAGACTCATCCTCAGCCTATAGAACAGAGAGAGCTCCACCCACATCCACCCACTTCACAGTCTGCTGGCTGAATTCAGGCCCTTCTTCATGGAAAATCCAATCGTCATCCTCTTCTGGAGCATCAGCAGCCCACATCCATGGGCTGCCATCCTTGTAACTCCCAGCAGGCTCACCGGATCATTGCAACACCCCGCGCACAAGCCTCGAACACCCACTCGAAGTAGTCAGCGAAGAGTGCCTGTCGGTACTGATGCTTTCCTGTGGTAGATCTGTTTCAACTCAACATCAGTGGAAAGCTCTGTTGCAGGGCAACATCAGTGGAAAGTTCAACTCAAGTGGACTGCACACAGCTTCCGGCATTTCGGGATGTGCTCCATTTAACGGCGATGTCCTGTCCAAGCCATCCATGCAGCTGCCCACAGCTCTATCACAGCCCTGCGGGCCCTGTCCTCTTCGGGAATCGTCATTTTCGATCCATCCGAAGCTAGGAAGCGCTCGAAGGACAACCAAGGCAGCTCCTCCAAGAGCCGATGCCGCCGCAGACCGTGGGCAAAGGCCTGTCCTAAAATCATTCTGCTGCATCGCACCTTCTTCAACATCGTCGCCACCCGCTTCCACCTACACATGCGATCAGAAGACCTTGCCGTCTTCCGTGTGCAGAGAACACATCCGAGCCTGTCGGGACGACGCTCCAGATTCACCACCCAGGCTCGAAGCTCCTGCTTACCAGAACTTTACTTTCAAAACTTTCGTAGCTCTTTCAGTTGCGAGCATACCGCCAACGACACTACACCCTTCCGTCCTGACACTACACCCTTCCGTCCTGGAGCACTGGATCCGTGGCCACGGTCTTGGCCTTCTTTGCCTCCAACGCCAGATGTAACAGATCTTGCTCATGCTCCATGTTCATGCCGCCCAGCTGCTGGTGTTTGCTTCGCGGCCGCTGGGCGCTTCAGCGCGGCCTCTCGAAAGTCGAGCTCAGAGCTTTCATGGCCCGCGTGCGATTTACGCACGGCCTTCGCCGCCGCAGGCCGTTTTTGGACCTTTCGCATGCGGGCAGGTTCCAGGGCGGCCGAAACGGAGAAAACATCTGCATAAAGCTCTGGCCTTGCTGCTTGCGGGCTTCTTCATTTTGCCTGGAGCGCCGAGTGCTGTCCAGTCGGGACAGCACATCAACTTGCGCATGTAAAGTCTGCTGCAATTCCGAGCTCAAGGTCCGTCCCGGCCTCCGTATGCTTGTGCGGCACTCTTCTTTGGTGCCATGCTATCAAGACCGGCGACAAGATGGGGACAATCCTATCCTACCCATACACTGAAACAGCTCGCATCAAGGACCACTTCAACCATGGCATTCTGCAGTCGCAGACTGTCCCTGCATGTCCGGTCACTCCCTTTCTCCAGCACCTCATCTCTCGCGCTGTACATGAGAATGGCTGAGTCAGTGCAGGGTCGTCTATCTTCAATGAAAGTCTATCACTTCCGTCAGCCAGCGCTTGCATCGTAGTAGCGGGACATGTCCCTCGGTGCAATCAGCATACGAGCACGGCAGCGCTTGAAGATGCAGTCATGGCAAACCGGACATTGACATGTGCAGTTCTGCTCCAGTTTTGCTACTTAGTCCGCTTTCTGTACACTCGGCTCGGCACTTTAACATGCGCTCAATTGAGGGCAACTAGCGAATTCCTGGCAACCGACCCGGCTGCCTGGGGCAACTTGTGGCCCGGGCCCAAGGGCAGGAAAAGTAGGAAAAAAGATAACTGGCATCCTTTAGTCGATGCAAGTTGTAACCTGAGGCCGACATCGTGATACTGGTACCACACGAGATCATGTCATCAGATTGACTAATTACCCTTCTGCTGGCCAGAAACACGGAGATGAATCGGCGTCCCTCGCTGTGTGCAATCAATGAAGGAGCCTTGCTCGGAACAGGTGAGCACATAATAAGGAGCAAGAAAGGCAACATTTGGCTTGGGCTCCGTCCCACACCCCATCCGAGCCAGTTTGATGATTCTGGAGCACACCAGTAGTTGATAATATTCCTCAGTCGCTACCACACAGAGTTTAAGTTTAGGCATGTCGCACAGCCGCACAATTTGGTAAAGACTCCCTGTTGCATTGTAATTTCGTGATCGACTGCCATCTGGATTTAAAGCCCAGGAGCGCTCCTGCCAAGGAATACAGAAAAACTGCGAGGCTGCTGGGAGGGATGCAGAGGAGCCTGCATGTAGATGGCAACATCACCTCGGCCGAGCTGCAGTGAACTTCTCGCGAAGACTCTCGCGCGAGCGAGTCGCGCGCGATCCAGCCAAGGCTCTGCTGCAATTTCTGATGCTGGCTTGGGTGGCGAAGAAATCACAATAATAACCTGGCGAAAAGTGTCTCCGGGACAAACAACGTCATCCGGAAGCTGTGGGTCACAAGCTGCAGCGGCAGCGGTGTGAACAATACATAAAAACAACATGATACACCCATGTCTTTTTCCCGACAGCGTGGCAAAGCGATCTCTGTGGAGTGGCCCTCAAGTTTTTGTGCGGTCTCCTTCGATCTGACAGAACATCTTCTCGTGCGACAGGGGAGTCACCCCGCATCGCAAATGGCGCTGCGCGTGTGGTGCCGTGACTGTTCCTGAAGCCGTACTGTGAGCAACGCAATTTGCCGTCGATTGCTGTGTCCAACCATTTTTGAAGAATTCTGGCAATTAACTTGTACGAGAGAAATGGGCTGGTTGCTCGGATTTGCTCGGATCAGCCATCGTGCTGCGATGTGCTGCGCTTGTGCACTTCTGCAACCCCTGCTTCTGACCAGGCCTGTGGTCTCGAAATTACAACCCTCGCGGTGCTTCCCTGTCCGGATCCTCCTGGAAGTGTGATTCATGCATTTGTCAATTCCAACACACTGGCTTCATTCTGGTTCGACGTGGCAACCCTCGGTGCTACTGGCGTGTCCGGGCGCTTTGCGCGAGGTGCCAATTTTGGCCTCGAAATGTCTGAATCCCGCCAATAGTTGGAGCAAGCATTTTAGTCATGTCTCTGCATCACGCCACGCCGGTACATGGGGGAATCATGTTGGCCGTGCTCCTGAATCCCATCTGAATCGCCAGTCTACAGGGAAGCATTTCGGCAATGTTTCAATCCCACCAATACATGGGGGATGCATGTTCGCCATGATCTTGAATCTCACCATAGGGGGAAGCATCGTGGGTGTGTCTCTGAATCTGTCAGGTGGATGGAGGGATGGATAAGATGCTGGTCGGTGTTACTTCGCTGCTCTAAACGCTTTCAGGACACTTCGGGACTCGTGCTAGGGATGAGCTGCAGAAGATGAGGGAATTCTGCAAGCAGGAAACCTCACATCAGCCGAGCCGCGTGATGTGGGCGCTGACGGGCAACTAGAGATTGAAAATGTCAGCTCGGCGCCGGGATCGGCACACCTCGCTGCGTACTTGTCTCGCAGAGATTTTGACCGCAGTTGTGCTGCATGTTCTTGTCCATGCAGGCTAGATAGGCTAGTGGCATACAATCGCATGGACTTCTAGGTTTGCTGGTTGGCTTTGCCAGGAGATCACCATTGCGATGGATGCTAGCACAGACCAATTCTTTACGAGTTTTGGCCGAAGCACGCAAAGCGCTCTCCGCCCTCTTCACCAGGCAGAAGTGCCTCGTACCTGCTGCCGCAAACCCATAACCGAACCAGCGCTGTTGGAGTTTGACTGCACTTGAGCTGACTGTCTGATGATAGGATGTGAGGCATTTGCCAGAAAGCGCCTGCTGGACATCGAGAAGCCTGCCCATGAAGCAAAATTTGGATGGCCGCAGAAAGGGCTGCCAACCCCCATCCAGTCTCCGTTCAACCTCAGTCGTTGCACAAACTGAGAACATTTACCAGCCAAGACGTGCAAGATCACGCAAGCCAGAAAAGACATTGCAAAGAAGCAGCTCGATAAAGTCTGTGTCCCATGGGCCGTCAACATAACGCCAGGAGATCCTGCAGTTTTCAGGATTGTGCTTGAACGGTGAATGGCTTTAGGTAGGTGCCTCTGCAAGCCCGAAGTTCTTAACTCCGTCACCTCCACCAACATTCAACACGCGGTATCAAAGTGTCATGGTTCTCTCTCCCCGTCTCTTTCTGCAACCGTTATCCGAGCCCGCCTGTTGGGATGTATTTGCTGGCACGACGACATTCCAGTCTTTGAGAATCACGTCTGCGCTACAGCTGTTCACGAAGGAAAAGTTGGTCACCTGGAAAGTGTCGCAGGTCAAACGTTGCAAGATGTTACAAGCAATCGCCAACACGGGTTCAGTGGGCTCAACGCTGCGAGCATGATTATGTCGCAGTGTTGCAGACAGATCGACAATGGGCCTCCACACACCCGCCGAGGGCGACCAGCGGCAAGTGCAGCATCGCAAGGCTTTGGCATAGTGCCACTAGTGGGCCCATTGACTTGCAAGCCTACCCCTGCCGTTAGGTCGAGCGCGCCAAGTCATGACGTGATGACGTGATGGGTTCAAAAGGCAAAACCTGGACTTGAAGATTGACTCCTGTCAGACAACCAAAATCAGCGCAAGCGCAACTTGATGCACAGTCGATTTCACCTTCTACAGAAACTGAACACTTGCAGCACCAGCTCAGACACAAACACAAGGGGAGCAGTCCGCACCTGCAACATGCCAGCTTCGATCACACGTCGTCAAGGGCAGGTTCGACAATTCTGTGACGGTTGCAGAAGCTGAGAAGCTAGCAGCTGCAGCAGGACACACTGGAGGGGAAGTCGGGGTAGCCTGTTGCGGCGATGCGTTTGCCGAACTTTACACGCATACAGTCACCTGTACCTAGTCAGGTGAGGACTGCTGCTGACTGGTGTGTCCTGCATCTGCACCGGAGGAGGCGGCGGCGGCGGCGGTGGAGACCGCAGCTGCGGCTTCGGGGCCTCGAGGCTGCAAAAGACCTGGCGCCCGGGAAGAGCCGTGCAAAGCGCTGGCTGCAGCCAGCAGGGCGATCAGCGTCAAGCTCTCTTTTGCTGTCTTGCTGCGGCTGCAGCGAACAGAACGGGCCGGCATCAGCTTAATGCCATGAGAACTATGGCTCAACGGCGTTACGTTCCGGCTTTGCCGACTGGCCGGAAAGCTTCCTCCGGGCTGTAGTCCTTCACGTCTGCTTCTGGAGTCGGAGCTTCGAGTGCGGCGCCTGACAGGCCCCAGTGGCAGAGCCTGAAGACTTGTCTGGATCCGCTGCCTCCACCATCGCTGCTTCGGTTGTGGAAGCAGGGGCCCTGCATCATCACCGTCTTGACCTGTGCTGCTTGCACGAGTCGAAGCCTCAGAGAGTGACACTCCAGGCCTTCGCACTTGGCTTCGGCTGCGGTCTCGAGGCCTAGCACTGGGAGCGCTCGGCACAAGGGCTCGGACGGCGGCTGGGGCGTGTCCTGTCGGGAGGATCTTCACGACCGCGGTGCTGCTTGGTTTCCAAATCCTGGCAGGCTTAGAAGATTCCAAACGAAAGCCTGCAAACAAGCAAACGTTGCTGATTGACAACATGCCAATGCTGCCTCCACCATTCGAGCTCCAATTCGACGCCCTTCTACGAGAGCATTGTGCCTCAGTGCTTTGTCAAAGTCACACAGTCAACCAGAACTCTTTCTCAACACGGGATAACAAGGGACAACAGGACGCCCTCGTGACGGCTGTTGCCTTCGGTGACGACACCGGTTGTCGCCGTGCTGTGCCAGTTGGCGCCACGCATGTGACCTCGCAACCGTGCGGTCATTGCGTTGTGCCAGGTGGCTGCCCAGCTTAGGCAGCTGGGGCTGACTGCCCTCCCTCCCTTTTTAGTCCGTCCCGACATCTGATTTGCTTTCGTGATGGGTGAAGTGGCGGATGACTTGCCCGACCGCTTCAGCTATACCACAATCACCGCCCAGATGCGGGCGAGCGTCGAAACGTGCTAAAGGGCCCATCCACTTTCAAAGTTCCGCTACCAACCTCCCGCCGCAGCCAGATTTGTGCATGTGGAGGCCCAGGTGTGAATGAGTATTTCAGCGTTTTTGGACGACGACACGATCGCCGAGGTTCCAACAGCCAGGGAGAGCAAAAGCCCAAAAAGGACGATCGAGCCGAACACAAGAATCCCAAAATAGTCCCACAACCTAGAGTAGTTTTTAGAGTGAGTCCGAGCTGAGCTTCATCTCTTTCACAGCATCGGTGGCATCTCGGTGCTCTTCGAACTCCACGAAGGCAACTGTCTTGCCATCCGGCACCTGGGAGAGGGGAATGGGAGCGAAGCATGCCAGCAAAATCTGATGATGAAAAGCGAAAACACGAGACGAAGCAAGCCTGAGGCAGGAGAGGCCAGGAGGGCATCCGGACATGCAAAGTTTGGGTACGAGTCGAACACATGTAGGGACCTTCGAGTGCTGACTGGGAGACGCTGACGGGGAGAACCAAAGTCCCACGACGTTTTGATCCGGCGGCCGAAGCCTCAACCGTCCTATCAATTTACGAGGGGAGGTCCGACGCCTCTCCGACCAGGCCCAAACAACGAAAAAGGCTTGCCTTTTTTTGGCCGCAGCCAAATCTATGCATCACAGGGCACCTCGATGCGGATGATCCTGCCAAATTCCCCGAAAGAGGCTTGCCTCAGAATTCATGCGCAGGGGAAGCGGTGCTTCTGGACTCTGTGGGCATGTAGAGGAAACTACAGCACTGTCTTCTTCATCTTGTCGGTGATGCCGGTGACTGCTACAGTGGACCTGCAGGTTGCGGCTTAGACTCGCTCTTGCTGACGACTGGTCTTGGGCACCGACTCTGGCTTCCACGGCCTCCAGCCTTTTCCGCTTCCCTGCAGACAAGTGTCAGCGCAGGTACAAATCAAAAGAAGGTTTGAGAAGTGTGAGAACTAGCTTGGCCTGGGCATGCCCTCGATTGGTCGCATCCCCGGCCCCCTTGTTGATGGAATACATCCGGGACGACATCTAACCTGCAGGGAGAGTGATTGCCTAGAGTCTTAAAGCAGCGACAGCCACAAGAGTCTGGTGGTTCGCCTGACAGCAGAGGCCGCCGCAGATTGCCAGAAGCCCATGTGTCACATGCCGTATTCAACGATTCCGGAATTCCTACCCCCGACCACTGGCCACACATATATGCTGATCGATTGATTGATATGTCGCATGTTTTCAAGCATATGGAGCAAGGACGGCTTTCGGCGGTGCAGATCGCAGCAAAGCAGCGGAACCATGAGCATCACCTCTCCGACTCTGAGCTGACAGTGCCCAGCTCCGTTCTCCACCTCGTCAGCTTGGTCTCGCAAGTCGGCAAACAGATCACCTCCGTAGTGCTGAACTCCAGGGTCCTCCGGTGGGGAAAGTGAAGGCAACCTGCAAAGTTCCGAGTGCAGATCTTCAAGGAGGGCATCGTCCTTGAAGTTGTTGCATTGTTGGGAAGCATGTGCACAAAGTAGCGATGGAAGAAAGTGGACGCCCCACCTCAGATGCGAAAAGCAGCTACACGCGGTGCCAGTCACGGTGTCATGTCGATCGCCACGCCTCGTGTACCACTCCTCGCGAGAGAAGGCTTCAGCCACCTGACCAGGGATAACTTCGAAGCCGAGAAGGTGCTTGGCAGTAATTCCAGCCAGGTCAAAGCAGACCATCCTAGTACGGAGAGAAGACTCAAAGGCATGCCAAGCTGAAACAGAAAGACAGCTGAGATTGCGCGGTTGAAAGCAGTACTGTCCTGTCTGGGCCTGCGAAAAAAACCCGCAGTCTCTCAGTCGCATGCGCCTGCCCAGATAAGTCCTCCAGCAAGGCTTCCACGGCCTGACAGCCACGAGCTCCAGTTATGTCCAAACCTACACTCGGCGGACTCCTCGGAGCTTCCACCCAGCGCTCTGATGGAGCTCTCTAGTTCCGTGATCAGCTCCTGCACAGACAGAGTGACTGCCGAATGACAGCGATGCCCTTGAATTCTGTCGGGCTCCTGCGCCTTGGGGAGGGGCAGCGGCACCTCCTTCGGAATGGGACTACAGCGGAACTCTCACTAGGAAATCATTTCAGAGTATCAGCTCTCGCGAGACATGTGTGCTCTGCTGACCGTTCCTTCAGCTTGTCCAGCTGGGTCTGCTTCAAGGTACGCATCGCCTTCGCGAGCACAGGAAAAGAGCTGCACTTTCGCTGCACTCAACCCTTTTACCTTCTACTTTCCTGCAGAGTCGTAGTGCCGCACTGTACCATTGGCCAAAGCAACAGCAACAGCTAAAGCAAATGCAGCCCAGGGATCCATCCGCACACCGTCCACAAGCAGGACTCGGGACTTCCTCTTCGGGATCTCAATTCCAAGCTGCGCTAAAAAATCTCTCGCCTTTCCAGCCAGGGAACTGAGCGATGCCTTCTTCCGCCGGAAGCAGGTCACAGAGCCTCACCCCAGTTGCCAGAGGCAGTTTAACATCGCCTGCATCAGTGCTTCTGTGCACGCCTGGGCTGCTTAATATCTGTGTTGCGAATGTAGTTGTGCTCTGGGTGCTCAAGATTCTATACCGGACTGGGTTGAAACTGCTCAGAGCTGTTTGTGTGAAGTGTTGTTCACTGGCACCTACACATCATCAGCGAGACTTATCGCACACATGATCTCTGGGGAGTGCCACCAGTGCTCGGTCGCGGGAACCACAAACCGCTTAAGAAAAAAATATAACAGTAAGTCAAGAGGATATGGACCCGTAAATGTGCTGAGGCTTCCACATGCAGCACAGCGACACGCTGCGTCTAGCTCGGCTGCGTGTGTCGTACTCCAGCGTCAGCGATATGGCACCTTAGACCCGTGTCTGAAGACTCGGACACATCTTGAAGTGGAGTTGATGTGCCGAGAATGAAGCTGTGTGCGTCTGAAGCCACAGATGGACGCAGGAGGACATGCCGAGACTGGCCAAATCTGAGCGGGAACGGCCGGACTTCAGCTGTTGTGCAGTGCACCGGACCCTTGGCGTGCGGCTGCAGTCCGGAAAGATCCACCTGTCAGGCTGTCCAAAGTGGTCAATGTGGTCTTTCAACATCCCCGGCCTGCAAGCCACCAGCAGCTTGCTTGATGGCCAAGCCACCAGGAACAGCGCCTGACTGGTCCGGACTGAACTTCCCTCTCTTGGACTTGTTGCTTTCGCTGAACGCGAGACATGTCCTGCCGACTGAGCAAGCAGCACGGCGACAGTGAAATACCACCGCTGGCAGTCAGCTTCAGCCTCTTGCCAGCGATTCTGTGTAGAATAACGAATTGCTTCCACAATTCAGTTCACACCACAAGCGTGTATATATATATATTTTTTTTTTTCTGCACATATATTTTTGTATTTACAATACAAAGAGTGACGCTGAAGGCTTGGGCATAAGCTCTTGCGTGAGGATGACAATGACTGAGGAGGCCACAAGCCACAAGGGGAAGAGAGATTCGTCTTTGCTCGGCCCCATATAGAGATGCGAGGAAATGCACCCTTCACCGACTGGAGCAAGTTTGAGATCCTTGCACGGGGTTGGCCCCCATGGTCACCAACAAGTTCGTAACAGCCTGCAGTGCTGGACATCAGACTTTGATGGGGTTCTCTGTTGCGGAGGACTCAGTGGTTGCAGGCGAAGTGCATTCACGAAGACTGTGCCCACGAAGCCGGCATCGGGTATGAAGGCCTGGGCAGACTCGAGCCACTGGCGGTACCCAGTAGATGAGACTCCGGTTTCGAGCTCAACACATAAGAGGCAGAACCGAGCCGTGCCAGCTCATGAAGCAACTCGCTGTCCTGTCAAAAAAGAGCCCCTGACAAGAATGTCACTCTTGCGGACTCTTGCGGCTTGTGTCCAGCTCATAACCGAAGCCAAAGGTGTTCACGCTGCACGGAAGCCTGCAACTCCACAACAGCCGAAAGCGGCGAAAGCCCAGGCGCACGGCCAATGCCTTCCTCCACACTTCTCTTTGAGCCTCTTGAGCATTGGCACCTTTGAGGTTTGTGATTTGGGGCAAACTCTGATCGCAGCCCCTGCCCGCAAATGACCGGGGTCGCAAGCAATGCCACGTGGTGGATTGATGTTCGGGATCTCAGCAAGAATTGCATAGCTTCTCGCCCAATGTATGCTTGACAATGCATGCCGGGGTCTTTGCCCCATCCGTCAGCAGTAGCAAATGTTGCAGCCTCACAATTCCGAAAGTCTACGAGGCTGGCCATGCCGGAGTTCGAAGACCAAGACGTGCACCTCATGCCGTCCGATGCAGCTGCGAGGAGCTGGATGCCTCTGCGGGGATAACCAAGTCCCGACGGAGTTAGGATGGGAGGCGCAATCCGCCTGCTTCGAGCCCAGCCTCGCTGCAGTTTCAAGTGGTGCCATGATGCTGAACGCGCCGTGCGGCAGCAAAAAAATGAGGGCAGAACCCAAATGTTGGTCATGCCATCGGGCAGCCTGTCATTGCGACTTGTAAATGACTTCATCAACCGCGCTTTGTGTGTTCGTGTGTGTGTGTGTGCGCGCCATGCCCACTGAATCCGTGCCAGACCGACAGCTGGTGTAGTCGCAGCTCGGCTCGTTGCTGACCCTGAGACATCTCACGAATGGCACACAGTTCGCAGGCTCGCAGTGCCGAAACAGCAAGGGATACCTCTGCAGTCATGGGCGTGAGCTCCAGGATGACTCTTGCCTCACTCTTGCGAATGTTGCGGTCTCCGCACTGCCGATCGCTGTGCGCCCGGCGGTATTGCTGTAGGCTACCAAAGCCAGCCTGTCTCGGCCGTTTAGCAGATGGATCACTGTCCTCGCTGCACTCGGAATCACGTGAAGGCAGACAAACAGACACGACAACGGGCACAGGTCCGGAGTGCGTGCTTGACTATGTCTATGAGGGCAAGCCCATGACCTCAGTACGTGGGCACGTCTTGACCCTAGAACTTGCATCGCGAAGACCTCAGCAGCCAGCTTACCGACACACCAGCGCCATCTGCCAGCATGGCCTCTTGCACGGCCCAGAACCAATGCTACGCAAAAGACGCCGGCTCCACTCAAGTAGCGATGCAGCATCGCGGCTGCCTCAGCTGCCATGGATGTGGACACCTGAGGACAAGCAGCAGATCTGCACCTATGCTTACGACGTGAAGTGCATAATGGAATTGTCCACAATTCATTCAGGCTCGAGGCACCGGCATCGACAACGCAACAAATGTCCGATGGCGCTCGGACGCTGCCCAATGGTGGAACCTTGACCCCGAAGCTTTGGTTGGGCAACGCTTCGTCCAGGCTTTCTGAGGTCAAGACGATGGAGATCAGCATCTCATCCTCCGCCTTGCAGAACGTCCGTCTTCAGATCTTGACCGACCATGCAGGCATACGTCTTAGGGCCAAGCACCAGTTGCTTGCATTCCTCAGATATTCGGGCGCGCATGCATGATGTAGAGTTCTCTAAAGCTTTTGCTTTCCCTCCAAAGTGGCGTCTGCTTCGCATGCTCATGCTCTTACAAAGATGTTCGGCGAGCGTTCAGGAACCTGCGTCTGCTTAGACTTCACAAATGGCGCTTTAGTCTGGTCTTTTGGATGCTATGAAGTGGCGAATCTGTCGTTCCCATCAACCCCAACGTCTGTCCTAGGACTCCCAACGATCATAGTTTAACGAGCCGAGGGGCGCAAAGTCACGGCCTCCTCATCTTCAGTGGGAGGGTCTATGGCCTCTGCCTGCGAAACAGTACACGGCAGACTACTCTGGCAATGCAAGAGTACCATCTCGAACTGCACCCGCACTGTTGAAGAGCTAGACTCTAGACACTATACCGGCACCTCGATGATTCTAGATGCAGCCACCGTGGACGGAGACTGGCAGAGGCAGATTCAAGCGCAATGTTCTCGAAGAGCTTTGAGATTCTCCAACTCTGCCTCCTTTCCAACGAGCGCGTCTCGCAAGGCGAAATTCACACGTATCTCAGTTGCGGAGCTCTCCTTACAACGGACGGCTGTTTTCACTGTTCTCTTCGGATCTGGAAACTGCGAGCCTCTCGACAAGTTGGACACCTGAATTTTCCAGCATTTGCAACCTCAGGGCCAGGGTTGGGGAAGCGGCGCCGGTTCGGAGCATTTCGAGGTGCAGTAAGCGAGAATTGGGAAGTATTCTCCCATGGGGGCCTGCTCTAAGCAGCTGCTGCAGAAGGTATGCCCACAGTTCAGCACCTCATGCCGTGGCAGAGTGAAGTTCATCCAGAGGGTGCTCAGAGATCATTGCCTGTGGCACACGGCTGGGCAGCGCATAGTCTTGCAAACCTTGGAATTGCGATTACCAAGGCGGTCGTGCACTTTGCAGCTTTGGCCATGTTTGACTTTGACTGAGTTCCACGCAAACGGAACACTCCATGTGCAACGCGTGCTTGGCGTCTAGCTTTCTTCAGAGAGCAGGGAGCAGGGCAAGGATGTGGGCTGTCTCGCATCTACTATAGCGGTACTGTGCATGGCACGTCTTGCTTGCTCCATGTCTTGTAGTACTACGTGCTCTGAAGCCGCAGTATTCAGCGCTGTTGCCGAGCCCGTTTCGATGAGACATTGCGGATGCCACAACAGCACCCACCACCAAAGTCACTCTACGCTTGTTTTGGATGACTCTCCGCTGTCAATGTCTTCTCCGGCTTCTGACCGACAGCGCGGGCACTGGCAGCAGAAGCCATTGTTTCGAAGCAAATGCCTCAGGTCGCAGCGCTTCTCTGCCTGATCGACTGAGTAGCACTTCAGAACTCCCTCAGAGCACTAGGTGCTGATTTGGAACTCGCGCCGTTTCTCCACAGGCCACTGGAGCAACTCCGGCATCCCGTAATTCACCACTAATGCCTTCGGCACGAAGGAAGATGCGAACAACAGTTTCTCATTTATGGACTCCCGAACGATTTTCAGTATCTTTGCTGCTGCTAAGAGTCATCTCCTGGCCGGAGGTCCCGAACAGCCTGTATCACGCAAGCTCCGTCGTCGGGCCTTGCCGATGGATTTGTATTTGCATGTGGGACATGTCATGAGCCCATACAACGAGTTTCAAGAGCCATACCCGCTGATTCAGTCTGGCTGCACTTGTGACCCTGGCTGCAAAGGCTGAAAGACTTGGTGCAGCCGCACAGTCGGAGCACATGAGTGGTTCAAGAGGCTGACCTTGCTCCAACAAGCCTTCGCACTGCCCACTGGAAACAGGTGCAGGCATTCATAGCATTGTCAGTCACGGAGCGAGAGAGAAAACAGCATAGAGGTCAGGTTCGGCCCTCGATTCACTCGAGGTGTCCATGCTGGACTGCCTTTGCAGAAAGCCTCGGAACTTGCAAGGAATGCAACTTCGCTCACACAGTGGCAGGGTTGTCTCAAAAATCGCTGCACCACTACGCACCACTCATGGTCACGCTGCGGTTGGCCTCCCAACGCAGCAGAACCGCTGCCAGATTCCGAATCTCCGCAGCATCCGGCTGTTCTGACCGTCCAAAGTTCATAGCCTTGCCGACGTGGCGACGTCCAAAAGAGCAAAAGACATCGAACGACTTCGATTCCACGTTCCGTGGGGCGGCCCGCCTGCCAAACTTCGCTGGCCTGAGCCTGGCGACGACCCAGAACCCCCAAGGGCCCAAGGGGCCCCACGCCCCGAAAAGGCAGAGAGCTTTGCGCAGCAAAAAACCGAAGGGAAAAGCCAGCAGAGAGCATCGTCCGGCCTGCACTCTCGCCAATGCCTGCGCATCGAAGCCGTCGCCAGCAGAAAGAGATGCGAAGGCTTCGAGCGCCTTGCCTCAAGTGGCGACAACATGACGTATTAAATGGGTACAGTAGATGGCCCACGTGCATGTTTCCCACAGAAAATGTGCGCATAACGTCCAAGTAGTAGCTGTCAGCAAGCCTTGGGAATCGTCCTTGCCCGCGGCAGCACGCATCTTGAGATGAGCTCTGCAAACTTCATTGACGTCGTTCGCTGTCAACAGGAACGGCATCTCCTGCATACAGGAAGCTAGAGGCGAAGTCATTGAAGTTCTCTCCTGGCGCTCCTTGAACAAAGAACTGCCAGCCGCCATGGGCTCCACGACCTCCAAGCCCCTTCCGGCTCGAGGTGTATCCACCAGCACGACGGAAGTCGACAGCGATGCCGGACTCGTGGCGTGCTCAGGCCTGTGGCGAAATCAACACGCTTGAAGCCTCTTCTCCGAGCCTCAGTAAGTAGCTCTACTGTCCTTATCACCTTGCCATGGGGCTGGATGCAGTACCCGAACAGCAAGCACTGCTCAGGGACAAGAGCCGCACGCTCGCGAAAGCGCGGATGCAAAAAGCGAACCAGCCACCTGTCAAATGCAAACAATGGAAGCAAGAAACTTGCTCGCCACGAACTAGATAACGAGTAGAACCAAGCGCGTCAAGGGAGAATCCGAAAACGATTGCCTCCCAGATCTGTCGAAGCTCAGAACTTCACATGGTTCTCCTTCAAGCTCCTGTGCCACGCCTCAACAGCATCGCCACTGTTGCTGTCCCTTGCGTTTCACTTCGAAAACACGAAAACCACTTCTGTCGCGCTAACTCTCGGAAACATGGCCTGTCAAGTAAACTGTCGCTCCGGGAGGAAGTCGCATTCGCAGACCATGGATGGCGCGAGCTCTCACACTTCTGCCCCTGTAGTGCCTTTGCCCAGTTCGCAATGTGAGGAGCGAAGGGAGAGAAGCCACAGCCACCTTCAGCAAGATGTGCCTCGAGTAAGGCCGGCGGCATCTGTTGCGATGCAAGTTCCAGGCAGAGTGCGCCCATGTCGTTGGGTGGGAAGTCACCGTGTTCTGGATGGTGGCCATGAGCCCATTGCCACAATTCCAAGTCGAACGTAGAATCAACACAAGCTTGAACCAGAGTCAGCTCAAACAATAACTATCTGAAGATCAGGGACAGCACAAATGTGAGTTTCCAGTGTCGCAAGTCTCTGCAAAAGCAAGGCATGATGTTACATCTGTTCCTGTTCCGGTAGAGTCGTCAAGACTACTAGCTTACTAGCTTCTGTCCGAGAATGATGTCTCCCACACCAGACCTCAAGCACGGATTTTGAATACGACAGGAGTTTACAGTCGCTTGACTCGTCGCCCTCCAGCCTTGCAGCACCAGGAACATCGCACATCATTCTGATTTCCTCCCCATCGCAGCCACTGCGGGCTCTGCCATTCGTGCGCAGATTTTTGCGGCACCACACCCTTTGGCCACTGGCTGGTGGCGATTGTTTAAAACATTCATAGCGCGCCTGTTACGCGAACGCCTGGTGCGCTTGAAAAGTGCTCAACCCTCGAGGAATGCCCATATAAATGGGAACGAGCTTCGTTTTGATTCAGAAGATTCGGGAGCAAACGTCATCTTCATCCCTCAAGAGTTTGCAATCATAAGAAAAAACACGCGTTCCTGAGCATACTGGCGTAAGCTGCCAGTTGCTACAATACTACATGTCGTTTTCCGCTTGTTGCGATAGCCTTTGGCTGAATCGCTGCGGTTCAAACTGAAGACTGCCCGCCATGCTCATACACTCCTCTACTCTAATAATTTGTCTGCAGGATACCAGATAAGAAAATGTAAGAAATGTAAGTACGAGCGCGAAGCTGGTTTGCACCACAAAAGGGAAGTCGCTGTGAAGGAGTACAATGTCTGATATGTACTGACAACCAGCAGCGATCCCAGCAAATAACACATAACTTGCCTCTGCCTTTATTCCCAAGGAGCTGTTTGCCACCTTGAGTAGAAGTGTGGTGGACGCCAAGCTCAGGGAACCGTACAAGAACATGCAGGCGAAGTGTGGCCAGTTCAAGGTCCATAAAACGCGAGCTTCTTCGGGAAAGATGAGGGCCACCGGACTGAACATGATGAGCCCTACTCCACCTGACCATGTCAGAAGAACCGTATGATGCACTGTTCCACACAGATTGCGTTGCACCAAGGCAGACGTCGCCAACGTTATGGCGGCTAAAAGCCCCAAGACTATGCCGAGAAGGGTCGCCTGGCTACTATGAGCAGCAGCACTCAGCATTGGCAGCACGGAAAGCAGGAGTCCCACAGAAGCCAAGCTCTCGTCCCACTCAATCTGCTCCCTAAGAATACACTGCTTCAACACGGCGCCGAAGCTTGACAAAGTTGCCAGTCCCGACAGGACAAATGTTCCAGGTGCCAAATGCACACCACCGCAGAGCAGCATGGAGCTGGCGCTGACAGAGAAAGTACCCAGCAACATCTGAATGGCTTGCTCAGGATTCCCTGGAAGTGCGGCAGGCTTGCGCGGGTGGAACCTGACGAGCACGACACCTGTAAACGCGAGCATGACGAATCTGGCATAGATCAGATCCAGGACACCTATGCCAGCTCGCAGATTGGCATGTTCTGCCAGGTTGGTGCCGACAAGGCTCATAGCAGCAAGTAGAGAGGAGAAGAAGCGACTGTGCTCGAACCCTTGAAAAGATGCCAACTCTCCAACCAGCACTAAGCTGCAGATTGCCGTCGCTAGGCAGAACACTAGTTGTGGCTGGGAGAGGATATCAAGCGATATGGCTGCTTCGAGCAGCGCCTTGGCTGTGGTTCGGTGGTGCCCGAGCCCGCCCTGCGGCAAGACAGGGACAGCCTGGGTCTCGTCTTGCGGCGAGCGCATGCCACCAATGGCACTGAATGTATCGAACGCTGCCACGTCTGGATGGCTCACCTCACTGCATCAGCTCACCTATGCTACCGACTGTTTTAGTCGTTGCCGGGAAGCATTCTGGAGGCCGGCGTGATGCATGGACGCGTTTGCATCCTTGGCAGTAGGCTTTTGATGCGAGGAAACATGATCAGGCCGCCCCCAAGTTCTGACTGAGCCATGACACTTTTGAGCCGGTCGATGAAGGCAGTCCTGAGACAGCTTGCCTACTGCGAGTTTCTTCGACGAGTTGAGAGGGCATGGGATGGAATCAGAAACTGGATCATTTCTTGCTGGTCCTCTTGGAAGCTGCAGAAGCGCAGCATCGTCGTCACATGCCTCCTTCACAAGGTAAGTGCACTTTGGCTTGGCAGGGCATGTACCGCGGTTTCAGTTCTTTGCTGCCCGAAGTGATACATTAGAACCTGAAGACTGGAGCAACTGTGACAGTGACTGAATGTTGGCGCAGGTTACTGGACGCCTGTCCTGGAAAGCGGTCACAGTGACAATCAGTCCGCAGAGCTGCAGCGACCAATGCATGAAGCCTGTCAGATTTGGAGATGCTGGTAAAGTCTCGTAGCAGTCACGGGTGAGAATATCCTGGACGAATGCTCGGACCTGCCAATCCTAACTGCGAGGCAAGCAAGTGCACAAAAAGTGGCGATCGCGGCACTTTTCTTTCACGCCACATGCAGTACCCATCGGCCCACTGCTTCAGCCCAGCCGGCCTGTCGGAAGTGAAATTGTCAACTGATCATGGCCGCCAAGCCCAGCGCAAATGGGAAGCTAAGTTCGATGACGTGAAATAGACTCTAAGACCTGCAGAAGCACCTCATCACAGGAAGCGACCGTGTACTCGGCCACCTGGCAACGGCAAGGGAGACCTGGTGTTCACAGTGTGGTCGCAACTATATCAACTGCACCTCTTTTAACATCGGCCGTGCATTCTGCACGGCTGCTGATATGCCACCGCCGCGACCTCATGCGAGAATGTCACACATAGCCAGCGCTTTGCGAGGCAGCTTCGTAGCCAAATTGTTACGTCAAGCTACTCGCGATACAGACTTTGGACGAGCCACGTATCTCGCGAAGCATCTCAACATCATTCTCGCCATCCCCCAACCTGGCAGGCTTCTACTCAAGGACTGCATCGAGACCGAGGTGACCGGACGGCTACGGCCCCAGCGCGAGGACATCACTTGGATCAGCATCCAGAATTTTCAAAGCTTGCCTGCACATGCTTCTGCATGAAGTGCGGATGACTTTCTTTCCACATTGATGTCCTGGCCTGACACCGTCGGCCTTGCAAATCCCCTTCGGCAAGACCTCCACCATGCCTGCTATGGCGACCGTGAGAGATGCCTGCGGCATTGCCGGTCGCAACGCGCAGCCGTCCAGAAGAATACTAAGAAATCGCCTCTGCACCGATCGTCGCTTCCACCTCAACCCTGACAACCTGCTTCACAGTTATGTCGGGCGAGCAACCAGACTGAACACACACGAAAGCTTCGAGCAATTTGGCGACAAACGTAAGGAGTACATGCAGGACGTCGAGACTCGGAGCTAACCGGAACTGAGTCGGAGTTCAAGTCGAATCCGAGGGGTCAGACAGCGTTGTGCTCAGCTCAGACAGGGGCTCGGTTCCGGGTCGCTTTCAAAGCACACATTCGCACGATACAGTTGCATCTCCCGTCGTGCGCGGATGTGCACGGCAGCCTGTCAGAATTCTCCACCCAGCGCACGTTGTGTCGCAGTCGCAGAGTGTGGCCCGGCTTGAGAGTTTAGGAATGTTTAGGATGCAGGCTCGAAGGCTTCGGGCTGCTCCAGGTCGACGCTTAGGTTTCGCAGCGGTGTGTTTTTGCCGGTTTAGATTGGGGCGTCGCGTTTGGAGTGGTTCAGTCCGTAGCTTGATGGGTATTTCGAATTTAGGGTTCACCAAGACCACACTCGAAGTAGAAGCGAGTGCGTGCCCGAACCCGGCCCCCTCGTGCGATTTGTCGGACTCTCCGACGTCTTGCAAGGAAAGAGACGTGGTGGGTGTTATGAGGCACTCGTCCACAGGCCGGCGGATCAAAGTGCCAAAAGAAAAAGAGACATGCGGACAGAAACGAGAGTCGGATAATCCGGCCTTTTCCATCGAAGGGTCTCCGAGAAAAAGAAGTTTGTGAATTCTGGTATTTTCGTCCACAGTGCCAAACGTCACCTCAGCATCTTACCGACTTTCGCGCAGGCAAAGGTCAACGGGAGCAGTGAATGAATGTGCCAGGTCGCAGGTGGTTCACCGAGTGCGTTGATGACTTGGATCAGAGGGCTTGCTCGATTGCCTGGGCTGAGCGTTCGAAGTCAAGTTTCCGTCCGGCCTTCTACTTGTCTAGCTCTTCCTGCGTCCTGGCTGCTGATGATCTGGTCGGAATCCTGAACGAAGGCTGGACAATACCCACTCAACCGTGAGACCCGCCACGTGTTGAACCAAGACTCGGTGTAAGCCAACAGTGTCCACGCTTTGCGCTCTGCCAGGCGAGCACAAGCATGAAACACACTGGCCGGCAGCACGTTGGCGACCACGACCTGCCGACTCATTCCACCCGACCAGCTCCGTTTCAGAGACACCATTACGCAAGGTGTGAAGTCTCATCACTCACTGACCTGCCCAGCAGAATCGCACACACGCAATCCTTGCACAAATACTCCAGGAGCATTCAGCGTCCACTCGGACAAGGCCTCATCGCGAGGACACAACATACAAAATTAGATACTAGTCCATCATGATGACCTCAGGATATGGCTTGAACGATTGGATCAGCCACCTACACAAGACGAGTCTCAAAGGTTTGGGACGCAACAGCTTCACAGGCACCTGATCCAGCAAACGACGAACCCAGGGGCCGCGATGCTTGCCAGTTGCCAAGATGACTGGAACACCCTGTTGCACGCAACGACGAAGGGCCTGGCAACAGCCGCATAACCAGACTGCACGTGCTTCAGCTTCAAAGTCCTGCCTCGCAGTTTGCGGCTGGCAGCTGATTGGATGAATTCATCAAGGTCCCATCCTAGATGCTGGAGCCCGAGTTAAAAGGACAGGGTACATTCCAGCTGCCTCAGGTCGGAGCCACATCTGTGACGACCACCAAAGCTCTTCTGCTGTGTTCCGTGAGCTCTGAACGTGCTCTCTGCGTCACCCAGCCGCAACCTCCCACACAAATGCAGAAAGCAAGCTTCACATCTAGTTTAGTTGCAGTTTCTCCCACCTGCTCGATTTTGCAAAGCTAGAATGATGGACACCGCAGCGGAGAACACGAGCAACACCTTCTCAGAGCAGGAAGAATGTGGTTAACCGGGCTGCACGAGCGCAAAAATGGGAAGCCTGACCATGCTTCCCCATGCCATGTGCCCCCAAGCCGTGTACACGAGGTTGTCGGCTTCCGCGGCAGCATCTTCCCATGGCACAGGAAAGGCGGATTCGCCAAATGCCTCGTGAGAGGCAGTCCATACCACTTTACGGGCTTACCGGCTACATGGTGAATTTAGTTATCATTGAATTAAAACAATGAGATCTCAATGAGACTTCACTGGCATGGTTGACGATTCGCAGGACCTGTTGCGGCTGCGCAGACGCGGACACAACGTGGACAGGACGGCTAAATTCCGCGAGGAAGTGGCGGCACGCAGGAACCCAGCGTCGGCCTGTTCGGTAGGGCGGGGGAAAAAAACTGTCAGTGCGTTTGAGCCATCCGTGCAACCAGCATGGAAGCGGACTACGTCTCCCCGATATTGCAGCAGCTAAATGCTAAAGGCGGATACAGGCCGAACGTTTGGCACTTTGCGGCAGCAAAGCGTTTGCTGCTCCTAAGAAGCATGCGCCGCTGGTCTCAGAAAGTCCACAGAAACCGGAAATGCACGACGTTTGCACCTGTACAGGTCCGTGCGGAGAGCAGGCCACAAGTCTCTCGGAGATTGCAACTTGCGGTCATTAGCAGGCTTTCACGGTCGAGGCGCCAAATGCCTTCGATTCTACACAAATTCAAGCGGAGCCAAGACTCTTGCTGGCACGCGGCACTGCTAGTGCAGAACAAGAAAGAAGCTGAGCTTGCCACGCAGCACGTCTCATGCGGTCTAACTGTTGAATCTTTTGTAGTCTCAGAAGCGACTCTTGCACCTGCATGCACCGCAAAGCAACTTGCAGTCTTTGCCAGCTTTGGCTGCCCAGATCGAGAGACCCAAGACCCCCTGTCCTTCTCCCCAGCTGGCTCGAAGTCCAACAAACGTAGATCTTGGGGACTCAAGCCGTGCCTCAACTCCAAGCAATGTCGATTAGAGGATAGGCAGCATCATGCACCATGGCTCTGCGAAAAGCTGCAACCATCCAAGCCTCTCTGCAGCGATTGCCCGTGGCTTCACCTCCGAGCAAGTTAACGAACCTACTTCAACTGCCAATCCAGCCGCCACCTAGACAGGGTGAGATGCGTGGCATCGACCGACAATGACCGCGACGGTTTCATGCACTCCACGCAACTCCACGCGGTGCACCTGGAGCTGCTGGACTTGCCACCTCCATCGTGGCATTTGCTCGCGCCTCATCTGACACTCCAGAAACATCTGCACGAATTGCACGAGCCATGAGTTCCGAGCTGAGCGTTCCAGAGCTCCTGCCTTGGTTGCGACTTTTTCCGAGGCAGTCGGAGCTCAGCCGAGAGCCGAGGTTGCCGCTGTTCCCGTTGCCACCGCTGGAGTTCCCCGCTCCCTTCAAGGCGCCGAGCTGGAACCGGAGCCGGTGCGGCCCTCACGGAGTACAGTGTACAGTGCTGGCGCAGTGGAGCACAGAAGTACGTACAGTGGTACAGTAGTAGCATAGTGGTACTGTAGAGGGCGCTGGCAGTACAGTCAAAATTTTCACAGCCCGAAAAGTTCAAGGTCCTGTGCCCGACACACTACCTGGACCCTGACCCTACCTAAAATGCTGAATGTGGCTCTTTTTCTCTCGCATAGTTTGTCTGGCTCAGTTGCTCATAGGAACCTAACCATAACACTCTAACGACGAAAGGAGCTACAATCAATCATGAAACCAAGGCCAGAGTGTCAACATTGCTGTTAATTAATTGGTATCGTTTTTAGGGCGTCGCGCATCGTTTGGCATGAGACGTGCCAGCATCAGCATGCATCTGCAAGCCCAGCCTCTTGCCCACGAGCTTCGATGCCACCGGTGCAGTGGGACGGACATTTGCATGCAGCACCTCCCCATTTCGCAGCGATGGAAATGTGGTCGCGATAGCTTTCTAACCTTCTCCGAAGGCCTTGCCACCGTAGGGTCCGCAGCTCGTCTCAACCCTGGATCCGAAGAGGGCCTGAGCTCTGAGCGCTTCTCTCAACTGGCATCTCGTCACAGAGCTCTTGGTAAGCCATGCAGTCCTCGCGAATGCCGCTAGGATCCGCTAAGGTCAAAGCTTGGTCGGGAGAAGTGACAATCTCCATGTTGGCAATGATCTGTGGCATCCCCCTGGCAAGACGAAATACTCAGATTACTCATGCCGAAAGATCCGCTTCCACGATGCAAACAATACGTTCATGCCACTCATATTTCGGCATGTGGAGCCGGGACTTGACAACGATGCCCGAAGCAGAAGGCGTAGCAGCACACATGGTGTGCAAACGCAGCCGTCAAATGCGCCCTACTCCGGCCGAGATGCTGTGGGAGCTGTCCCCCGGCCTACAGGACTCATGGCCGGAGTGGAGAGTAGCAAGACGAGTATGGCGGTACAAGTACCAGTCTTCACAGCAACCTAGGAGTGTACAGAACAGAGCACTGAACCGAGCCGGCACCCAAGAGTCCACTGCACGCAGAATGTAAACACGTTGGCTTTACCAGATACTATGACGCCTGACAGGAACTCTGATGCACCAGCAAAGTCGGAAAACGCAGAAGCACACACAGACACAAGCAGATCTCGTCAATCTCCGCACACTGCATGGCTCCACAGCCACATCAAACAAAGCAAAACATGAAGCCATGCCAGCGCTTCGCCGGCCAACGGATCGAAAGTCCTGGCTAGACAGGCTGGCCTACGCTCGCTCAGGGCAACCGAGCTCGGTATTGCCAGCCTCGCTTGGGTGCCACGGCCAGACGGAGGGCCTCCCGGAAATTCACACCCCGCCAGGGCGGCGCAGCTCCCTGCCAGGCCATGCTCGCATTGCAAATGTGCTTCCGTGCCCATGGTGCACCTTCTCGTTCAGGGCCGTACCACGAAGGCGTACTCTGACGGTGACTAGTCGTCCTTGGCCCTTCAACAACTTGCGGACCTCACAGAAGCAGACCATTCGAATCCGGCGCTGCTCCAAGCAAACTCAGCTCAGGTCAAAACTTCCAGATTCCCGCAACAGCCTTCCTCCTTCGGTTCCAATTCTGGAATGATTAAAATTATGAACAATCAATGTTTGACTCACAGCACTGCTAGGATAAGGAAGGTTCCTCGAGCTCTTCTTCAGAATCGTCTCCGAGAAGTGACCAGCCTGCCTCACAAAAGTTATGCAAAGCTGACTACCAAAAGATGCCTCGGAGGAGCACGAAGCAAAGAAACTGGAGGCACGTGACCTCCTGCTCCCGGAGGAACGGACAAGGCAGGCCAAACCCAGCAGCTGAGGCCTGTGCATATTCACCCTCTTGCTCAAACACCAGCGCAAACAAGAATTGTACTGCTCCAAGAAGCCCGACCTCTGCTAGTGCTTGCATCAGCCTGAAGAGGGCCCAAGCTTCATGCGTTGCTCCCGGCTTTTTCTTATGCTAGCGGTTTCTGCCCTTATGCGAACCGGTCTCTTCATTATGCGAACCAGGCTTATCCTCGTTTTGTTCCCCCCCATTCCTCCCAAAACCTGGCTTTCCCTTCTGCTTTCACACACGGATTTGCGTTTAGGAATATATTATTTTCATGGAAGCTAGTTCTGTCATGTTTCGTTCCTCAGGGTGGTCTCATTCACAAACCTAGGCATGATGACTAGTTCTTTTCTGTAGCTTACGGAGTCTACTAATGTCCAGGCTTGCAGCTGTCGGCGCAGCTGCGCAAAAACCCACGCTAGTTTCGTTCTGCGAACACTTCTGCCATGAAAGCATCGCGCGAATGACATCATACTGCTGATAGAAGGGACGGAAAAATGGCGACGGTTTTGTTCCTCAGGGTGCGCTTCACACACCCATTTAAGCGTCGCAAAGAAAACAATCAGGTTTGCATAGAGGTCAGCATAACAAAAAACGGGCCTGGCTAAACGTGGCCCATCCAGCTCAATGGGGCCCAGTCCCCACCGCCGTCCCACTGGCCCTTGCACCATAAGCTCGGAAGCAGACGCATAAAAACAATCGAGTCGCATTCCGGCCAGCACAAGAACAAGTCAGACGTGGCTAAATGGGGCCAAAGCCCAGCTCAGTGGGACCCAGCCGCCCCTCCGTCCCAGCTGGCCCATAGAGCATAGGAAGGAGACGGGGCAACATAAAAACAAATCAACTTAGCCTTAGCATAAAGACAGAAACCGATGATTGCATAGACGGAGTACCTCGAGCATAAAAGGAGAACCCATGAGCATAAGAAAACAACCGTGTCGGCGCCGGGATGGAGGCATGGAGGTTGATGGAGACATGGAGGTGGCCAGCATAGAAATAAAAACCTTGAGCATAAAGATTCAAACCCAGCCCCAAATGGCAGACACACCAAACCATGTAGCAGCAAGGCACACCTTTTGCATGGTAGATGGGTGAGGATGCCGATTCCCAGAGCCGAAGCCCTTCGGTCGAAGGTTCGGTCCAAAACTGCTCCCGGTTGGGGTCCGGACAATCAGGGCCCAAGGCACCTGGAGTTTCGGCCCCCCCCGGGTAAAGAAAGCCTGTGCCGTACAACAGAAAGCCGAGGCAGGAGGCAGCCAGAGCCTCACCGGGCGCTCTGCACAGGCCTATGGGTGAGGGCAGAAGACTAGTTGAAATTCGATCGTCGTGAAATGATCGGCTCCACAGGGAGCTGAAACAATTGAAATCAACATGGGTCAGCTCATCTGCCCAGGTGTTGAAATCACGCTTGACGTGGGAAGGATTGGGAAGGTGCAATCTTCATGCCATGGCGATGCAGCTGAAGCAGAATCTCCACCAAGATCACCGCGGTAGGCATCTTCTTCGATTTGTCGCTGCGGAGGCAGCAAACGTTTCCCTGGTTGTCGCTGACCCGGGGGATGCCGGATGTAAGCAGGGGCCTTTATGAGGAAGTGGCAGAGGATCAATGTGCCAATCATCTCGAGGGCTGCAATGAGTTTTGGGAAGCCCTGGTCAAAGGCCCAAGCATGTCTCTCCGGGGTGACTTGGTAGTGGAACCAAAACACGTCACTCTTCGCCGCTCTCCAGGTTGGATAGCCAGCCGCCTACGAACGCCGCACCTTCATCCGGGGTGCTGGCATCACTAGCGTCGGTCCAATTGGCTAGAGGTGCATAGAGCGAGGCTTGTCGGAACTTCTTTTGGAACTCCTGGATGTTTATGACCAGGAAATGTTTCTCCCGGGCAGGTGTTAAGCCTCCGCAAAGCACATTGAGCACATGAGCTTCGCCTCGCTATGGTCCGGGTCCAGGAAGCGACTGCTGTGCCCGATGCCGTGGCGCTTGTAGCTGTACTTGACCGAGAGGAGGCGGTCCTGCTGCAACCGCTTCGTGTGGATCTGGTAGCCCTCCAGGACCCTTTCCACGGCTGCCCGGGTCCAAATCTTTGTCTTTAGGCTGGCGAAAATCTCGGCTCTCTGTCTGGGTGAGCTGCTTTGCTTGGTCTGCAGCTCGTTTGCCGACACTTGGGAAGTCTGCAGGGCAGCCCTCGACGAAGTAGAGCTTCTCTTCCAAAAGCCCAGGGACCAACTTCGACGAGGAGGCCACCAAGCCAAGTTCATGGTGCCATCCGAGGGGTGGGCAGCAAGGCCGCACCCCCTCCGGGACAATGTCACCTTCCCGGGATCTCCGTGTCCATCGCTGTCGGCTCCAAGGGGCTGCCCTGCATCTCGGCGTCCTTGGCGATCTCGACCACCATGACTGGGTCGTCCCTCTTCATAACCAACTTGGCCATGGCCATGTCCATCCCTGAGTTTCTCGGAGACGGGGGTAACATCCACCTGGGCGAAGGAGGACAGCACCGAGTTAACCTCCTCATCCTCGTGAACTTGAAGATTGTGGAGGAGGGTCGCCGTTGCGATGGCACCTTCGTCCTGCACTTTCTCCCATTCCTGATCCGAGTCACGATCCTCACGTGGCTGAGGGATGCTTTCCACAGTCTCCATGCTGGATGCCATAGCTTCCGCAGAGGAAGATGCCATGATCAACGGTCGCAATGAGAGAAAAGGGAGCGAAAGCTGGTAAAATTTCTGACGGACCTGAGGTCCCGGCACTTGCCATTTTGGCAGACGTCTCCAGACATGACTCTTGTGCGACTCGGCAGACTAGGTAGGTTGCGTCACTTCAGGACATGACGAGACAAGATGCGCGCCTGGGGTCCTGCAGCACTTCGGAGACTCTCGCTGCCGTCTGTTCCACGTCTTCCGTGGTCGGAGCTGGCACGCAATTTGCATGCACATTGAAAACCAGTGGTGATAAAACAACTCTGAAGCCCTTGTCCTACATGCTAGGCTCGCTCCACTTGAGCTCCATCGCCAAGTCCAGCAAGCGGGCGTCTCTCTCAGCTTCTGCCAACTTTTCGGAAACGAAGGCCTTCGTCAAACGCGCAGTGTGCTGGCGTGTCGCCAGTGTTTTGTGGCAAGGCATCGCTGGCCTGGGCACGCCGCCAGGCTAGCTCCCGCATCGCCTGATCATCGCCATCGCCCGCGAGATCCTCGAGCTCCTCTTCATCACCTGCACACTTGGGGGAAGACAGGATCGCGGCTAGCCATGGCTGGCCACTGTGAAGCCGGGAGCCATGCCAAAATGCACGTATCTGGGGGCCACTCGGTCCCTCAGCAGGAACAGCACGTGTCGGACGTCAGCAGGGTCAACAGCTCCAATCGAGTCTCAACAATCGAAACACATCGAAACACTGTCGGCATCGACTTGAAAAGCGACTGGAGTCACTTGATTCATAGGATGCCATGCGATCTGCCACAGCAGTCAGGCCACTCCCCAGATTTACACATTGGGACGTCTCCGTTAAATTTCGAGGCATTCATCGCATGTTTTGACGTTTGCGGAAGTTCGCTTCTGGGCAGGGAAAGACTGCTCACATCGCAACACGCGGGCGGAACTCAATCGACGCATCATGTCTTGGCCCACGGCGACTCGGCAGGGGTTGCCGCTGCAGCCGCTGCCTGAGCACCTGCCGCAATGAGGAACTGTCGAATGGTGTTCCGAGACTTTTTTGGGTGCCTATCTCCTGCCTGCCATTCCGAGCTGTCCAACCAGGTGTTCGCCGACGTTCGCCAAAGAGTTCACCCAGGAAGGTGCCTCGCGTAGAGAGCAGAAGATTTTTTTCGCAGACAGATTGGCCAAGCCGAGGCGCCTCGCTGACTCGCAATCGCTTGACAAAGGAGACGCTGAAGTGCGCACAGTTACAGCCTCAGTGGCTCAGCGGAGGGCCATTCGCTTCTGCACAGGTTGAGGACGAAGTCCTCTGTGGGAAGGGCTGCGAGGCAGGGACTGAGGCTTCAACAAAAGGTCTTCATAGCCAACAGGAAACGAATCAATGCCGCATCCACCGTCACCAGACATGTTGGTGGTGCGCGCTTGAGAAGGGGCTAGCCCTGACAGTGTGCGAAAGCTTAATGTGCTGGGACGGTCACTATCCCCTTCCAACATTCTCAAAGCATCTCCTTGACAGCCCTGACCTTAGGAATGGTGGGACTCGTCGCTCTGAGTCCTCGAATATATCCTTCTCTTTCTTTCTTGCTCTGGTCCCTTTGGAACTTTGGCACCAGAAGCTCCGGAACTGAAAGTTCCTACTCAAGCTCCCCCATTTGGCACGACATGAGGCACACCGAGGGGCTGAAGCTCGTCTTATTGTTGACAGCTAGAATAAAGCGAACCCGCAAACCCCCAATTTCTGCTTTGTGCTGCTTCGAAGTTCGGTGAGCTTCAAGTCACAAATTGCACCCATCTGTGCCGTCTGCTCGTTGCACCCAGTATAGTTCTGAAGTTGCTGCAGGTGCGTGATTACGAGCGTCGCTTTGGTTGCCCTTGGCTTGAGGGAGTGCTAATTGCTGCACCCGCTCAGTTTATGGATCTTTGAGGACCTGCAACACATTGTGCATCAGCTTGGAGGTTATGCAACTATCCACGGAATCGCAGGAAGGCTTCAGAATACTACACTTGCACAATCGCACACCGCCGAGACACGGACGTAGCAGGTCATAGTTGGAGCCGGGCAGCTCCTGCCTGTGAGTTCAGATAAACGACGCCAAAGCCTCCCCAAGTCTCGTGTCTTGGGAGAGAGGCGAACTGTCTTCCCTTGGTCCCTCGCCGCATTTTGTCAAGGACGCGAAAAACCTGAAGATATGCCGTGCTCTTCATGGCAAAACAGCTGGGTCGAAGGCCTCATCTGGCGAAAGCGGTGTTCTTCCCAGCGGAACTCGCTCACGAAAGGTACCAAGCGTACTTTGCCCAGGAAAAACCTCACAAACGACTTTGAAGGTCCCACTTGGAGCCTTTTTCGCAAACGTTGAGTTCGCAACCATGTAAACGCCACTTCCCTCTTCGCACCATCCGAAAGACCATTCGAGCCAGTAGACCTGTAATCTTGGATCTTTGCTATCACGAGCGCTCAATCCAACTGCTCAGCATGGCCTCAACACCGACATGGTAAGCGCCTGCAGAAACAGAGTGGGTGTAGAAACTGAGAAGGACAACACAAGACACGCAGCTCTGAACAGCCTCCCATGTCTGCTGCTCTAGTGAGCAAGTTCAGAGCGGATGTGCCGTGCAGCTCATAAATCGATAAAGCAACCTTGCAACAGCAGCTGTCGGGTTGCAACTCGCCAAAGCGCCAAAGCGGCCTCAGCCCAAGGAGGAGGGACGTTGGAGCCGACGCCGCTTGGCTGCATGCCTTCAGATGCCTTCAGCAACAGCACTGCAGGATGTTCCTCAGGCCGGACACCTTGCCTTGGAACGGGCTTTGCCAGCAATCCACTTGAGGGCATGGCCATGGCCGGCTACGAACACATGCTTAAACGACTTGTCCTTCTAAAGCAAGCCTTAGACTCTTCCAACATGTCATCTAATGTATCACCCTCCTCTGAGCCGATGTTACCACCAGCACGAGTCCGAACGGCTAAAAACTTGCCAGCATAATTTAATGCAAATACAAGCAATTGGATGCTTCCTTTTTTGACACTCTCTGCATTTAGGTCGCTACACCTTCTGGCAAATCCCAACAGGTCTCACCGGTGTCCTGCGGCTTCTCAAGAGCATGCAATGATCAACGCAACCCTCCGACATGTTGCACGTGGCCTCGTTCAGATAGTAGAACTCTCCTGGTGCCTCCGAATTGCCAATGTGATACAACATGTTGATAGACAGCTCTCACGTGCTATTCCGGCTGCTATTCCTTTCTCAGGAGGGTGTGCCTCCGGATGCTCAAGAACTCGCCATGGAGGAGGCGCGGACGGCTTGGCATCCTCAGAGCGACAGAGAGAGAGAGACACATCGAATCCAGCAGACTGGTGCAAACAATCAACAAAAGATCCCTCTCACACGCTCCTCTCTTCCTGTCTTCTCCAGGCCAGGGACGTTCCCTGCCGGCCTTTCCCAGGTCGTGTCGCCCGTTTCCTGGGGGCTACGCGGCTATATGTGCGCTCTGCTGCCCTGCTGCACACACGCTTCAACGGGGAGGTGGCCATGTTCAGGTAGTAGAACTCTCCTGGAGCCTTCGGGAGCTTTTCCCTAGCCGATGCTTCTAAGAAGCTCCCATCCCAAGCCTCTGGATGCTCTCGGACTTCCCATGGAGCTGCTGGCTTTGGAGGTGGCTTTCTCTTCTTCCGCCTACCACGTGGCACAACTCCGGCACCACGAATCCCACGCCCAGCACCTGCACCCAACCGAAGCCTTCATCCCACCTCTGCCTGCCTCAACCACGCCGTCAGTCGCCACAGCAGCCGGTAGACCACCATCACCCACCATCGACATCAACACCATAACCTATCTTTCTCCTTGTCGTCGTCGTCGTCGTTGGCATCCTCCTCCTACTCCTTGTCGTCGTCGTTGTCGGTGTCTCAGTTCTACACATAGTCGTTTTTTCTGCCAAGTGCTGTAGCTCTCCTGCAGCTTTCATCCCGTTGAAACCATCGGCGACATCATGATTATCTGGGTTGTGGTTTCGGGCCCCCCAAACTTGTTTATGAATAGGTATACCTCTATAGGAATCATAAGAAAAATTCAAAGTTTCCCAAAGTGCCACCTAGTTATATATATGTATATATATATATATCAGTTTCTGCGATCTCCAACACTCACAAAGTTCGCTGAACAGCCAGCGATCGCACAACTTCTTTTCTGCGACCGCAACGTGTGATTTGGTCGCTCCATCGATCGGATC